TCTCAAGCTGTATTCATTAAGCTAAAAATGTTTCAAGCTTCTCTTTCTTTATGACAGAGAAATACTCTATTAATTAAAAAATATTTATCTATTCATCTTTTGGTGGGCCTTTGGGTGTTTCCAAGATTTAGTTATGAGTTACTATAAATTGTGCCACTAAAAAATGGGTGTGCATATATTACTGAGCTAGGATATCTGTCTGTCTTCCTTCCTTTCTTTTCTCTCTCTGTCTCTGTCTCTCTCTCTCTCTCTGTCTCTCTCTCTCTCTCTCTCTTTTGGAAAAATACCAAGAAGAGGAAAACTGGGTCCATGGAACCGCTAGTTTTAGTTTTTAAATGAATCTCCACACTCACTTACACAGTAGTTACACTAGTCTACATTCCCACCAAACAGTAGAGAAGGGTTAGTTTTTCTACACAGACCCACTATCATTTCTTATTGGTTGATTTCTTGAAAATTATCATTCTTTTGAAGGGAGATGGAGTTCAGCATTGTTTTAATTTGCATCCCTCGAATGACCAATGATGAACATTTTTTTATATATTTAGTAGCCATTTCTACTTCTTCGTCTGAAAAGAATCTATTATTTCAGATGCCCTTTTTTGGGTTGAGTCTTTAAATTTAGAGGTCTGATTGTTTTGAGTTCTGAGGAACAGCTAGCAACAATTTCCACACTAAATTGTCTCCTCATTCTGTAGTTTCTTTTGATGTGCAAGAGCTTTTTAATGAGATCCCAGCTGTTGATTGTTTGTAATATTTCCAGTGTGTTTCAGTTTTGTTCATAAAGTCTTTGCCTACAACAATGTCTTCTAGAGTTCTATTTATTCTATCTTCCAGAAGATTCAGTATTTCTTTTTTCTTATTTAGAGCTTTCATCCAATTTGATTTTATTATAGTGCATCATGAGATATGGGACTAGATTTAATCTTTGGCATGTGTAAAGCCAGTTTTTCCAGCACAGTTTATCAGAGAGGCTGTCTTTCTTCCAGTGAAGGTGTTTGGCTTTTTTTCTCAAAAATAAGACAGATGAATGTGTTTGACATTGTTGCTGCAGCCTCTAGTCTTTTTGATTGATCCTCAGGTCTGCTTTTTTGCTAGTACCATGCTGTTTTTACCACAATAGCTTTGTAGTATAATTTCAAGTCAGATGTTGTGATGCCCACTGCTTTGCCTCCATTGCCCAGAATTACTTTGCCAGTCTAGGTCTCTTGTGGTTCCAAATGACTTGTAGGATTGTTTTCTCTAATTCTAAGAGGTGTGCTATTGTTGTTTTCATCAGGATTGCATTAAATCTATATAATAATTTTGGAAGTATGGCCATTTCACTGTATTGGTTCTTCCTACCCAAGAATAAAGAATATCTTTCCTTTTTCTGATATCCTCTTTTGCCTCCTTTTTCAAAGTACTATAGTTTTCAATGTAAAGATTTTTTGCGTCTGTTAGATTGATTTCTAGATATTTCATTTTTTTTGGGGGGTGCTATTGTGAATGGTGTTGTTTCCCTAATTTCTTTCTCAGTGAATTTGTTAGTTGTATACAGGATACTGTTTTTTAAATGTTGACTTTATATCTAGCTATGCAACTGAATTTGGTTATTAAATCTAGAAGTCTTTTGATGGAGTTTTTGGGGTCTTAGAGTATCTTGTCATCCACAAATCATATTTTTTTTCTTTCTTCCTTTTCTATTCTTTCTCTTGTGTAATTGCCCTGGATAATGCTACCAGAACTATATAAATTAAGAGTAGTGATAGTGGACATCCTTGTATTACTGATTTTAGAGTGAAAGCTTTCAGTTTTTGACCAGTTAGTATGATGTTGGCTTTTGGTTTGTCATAGATGTTTTTTTATCAGTTTGAGATAAAGACTGTGTATTCCAATTTTTTGTAATGTTTCAATTGTGAATAGTTGTTTGAATTTGTAAGATGTTTTTTTTTGCATCTTTTGAGATGATCCATGTGGTTTTTGTCCTTGATTATGTTGATATGGTATATTACATTTATTGATTTGCATATGTTGAAACATTCTTGCATCCTTGGGATGAATACTACTTGGTCATGGTGTATAATCTTGATGATTTGCTACAATGTGTTTGCTAGTATCTTATTTAGTCCTTATCCTAGTTTGTATTCACTAATGAGAATGGCCTCTAGTTCTCTTTTTGGTGGCATTGTTGCTTGGTTTTAAAGCAGAGTAGTGCTTCCTTCCAGGAATGAATTTGGGAGTATTTCTTCCCTATCAGTTTTAGTAAAGATTTTTTAGAAGTAGCAGTATTAGGTCATCCCTTACTTTCTTACCTAAGTCAGCAACACATTCAAAAAAGCCCATCAGGACCTTGGCTTTTCTTTGTTTCAAGTTCAATTTCATTACAGTGATATTGGGTTATTTAGAATATTTTATATCTTCTTCTTTCAGCTTAGATAATTCTTATTATTTGGTTATTCTTGGAATGTCTCCATTTCTTCTATGTTTTCTACCTGATTAGGATATAGTTTATTAATGTAGATATTGATAAGCTTCTAGATTTCTTTGGGATATGTTATGACTTTACCCTTTTAATTCCTGATTGCATGGATTGAAGTAGTCTTTTTATTGATAAGGTTGACTAAAGATTTGTCAATTTTATTCTTCCTAAGGATCAATTCTTTTTTTTTTTTTTTGTCTTTTTCGTTTTTATCGGTACCAGGGATCGAACTCACGACTGCCTGCTTGTAAGGCAGGTGTTTATGCCACTGACCTAAATCCCCAGCCCCTAAGGATCAATTCTTTACTTTGCTGATTCTTTGTTTTCTTAGTCTTAATTGCATTAATTTCTGCTTTGATCTTTATAATTTTGTCGCTCATATGAGTTTTGGGTTAAATTTCTGGTTTTTTTAGAAGCCTGAGGTTCAATATAAGGTTATTTGAGCTTACTCTGTTTTCTGATGGGAATTCACCACTATAAATTTTATCTTATAAGAATAGTTTCATTGCATCCCGTATGTTCTGGTATGTTGCATTGCATTATGTTTTTATTGTAGAAGCTCTCTAATGTCTTCTTTAATTTCATCTGCTACCCACTGATTGTTCTGGAGGTTGTATTTAACTTTCATGTGTTTATGATATTTTGTGATTTTTTGTTTTGTTTTATTTTGTTGCTGTTGATTTCCAATTTTATTACACCATAGTCTAGTAATACATGTGGGATAATTTCAGTTCCTTCACCACTTGAAGTGTGTTCTTTGAGCTAGTATGTAGTCTGTTTTGGAGAACGTCACACATGTAGCCGAGTGAATGTGTTTTCTGATGTGATAGAGCAGAACAGTTTGTAGACATCATAGTGGACATAGTGCATTGTTTAAAAATTTGTTAAATTTTGATATTTATTTTTAGATTTTTTGGTCTAATTGATCTATTTGTGGCAGTGGAATGTTGAGCCCCCCTATTACAGTTGTTCAAGTGCTTATTTGATGTTTCATATCCGTTAATATTTTATATAGTTGGCTGTGCTGGTATTTGGTACTTATGTATTTATCATTGTTATCTCTTCCTCTTGAATTATTCCCTTTACAAGGACATAGTGACCTTCTTTTTCTCTCAATTAGACTCACTTTGTTCGCACATAGAATAGCTACTCCTGACTTTTTCCAAGTTTCTCTCACAGTTAGTATTTTTTCCATCCTTTAACTTTGAGTATGTGAATTTAATTTTAAGTTAAATGTGATTTTTTGTGTATATCTTCTTGTTGAATATTCCTTCTTAATGTTTTCCCAGTCTGTTTCATTTGATTAGTAAATTGAGACCATTTATACTGATAGTTACAGTTTATATGTATTGATTTACACTTGTCATGTTATTTTCATTTTTCTGGTTCCCTTTTATTCACCTCTGTTAATTATGTGCCTTGCCAGGTGGATTCATTTTGTGAAATTTCATGAAAATGTAGTCCTTGTTATCTCTTTCTAGATTGTCCTTATAACATTTTGAAGTACTGCTTTGATGTTCATGAATTTCTTTGGGTGTTCTTTGTCATGGAAGTATCTTATTTCTACATAAATTTTGAAGGATAGTTTTGCAGAGTACATCAGTGTGATCTGGAGGTTGTTTTTTCTTCTGCCTTGAAATATTTCATGCTAAGCTTCTCTTGACATGTGGTCTCATGTTGACAAGTTTGCTGCAATTCTGATGCCCTTTGTTTAATAGATGATCTGTTTCTTTTCTCCTGCAGCTTTTAATATTCTATTCTTGTATTGAAATCTGGAATCCAGAATGTTAAATGTCTTCGTGTAGATATTTTTTGATCATTGATATTTGGAGTTCTGTATGTCTCACTTATCTATATGTCAAATTGTTTTTCCATGCTTGTGAAGTTTTCTGTCATTATTTCTGTTATGAGAGACTTTTTTTTTATTTGCTCCTGTTTTTGATTGACTCTGATCAATCATATGTCATTCTTTGTATCATTTAGTAGCTACTGGATTGACTTTTAAAAGCCTCATTATTTTTTAAGAAATATTTCTTTTCATGATGATTAAATACAAATCTTTTATATCTGACATTGTGTCCTCACATTGGCTCATTCCCCTATGTATAGTTTCAGTGAAAGTTTTAATCTCTTTGATTTTTCAATCTGTTTCTTGGATTCCATTTCTTTTCCTATGTTGGGATTTTATGGGTTCCATCATTTTTCTAAGCTCCTTTATTATTTTTCTTTTAAATTTGTATCTGCTCTAGAATTAAAAAGCATGTCCTCTGTTATGGTCACTATCTCAGTAGTTATTCGAGAGAATATTTCGGAATATATTTTTTTCTGGAGCCTCATTCATCTGCTTTGTTATGTCTGTTATTACTACTTCAGAGAGTACAGGTGGATGGCTTTTGAATTGTTCCATCTCATTACCCTCTGGGTTTGTATTTGGTGTGCTGGCAATCCAGGGATGTATCTTCCTTCCTTGCCTTCTCATTTTCTATTTTTTTTCTTTTTTAGTTTAGTCCCTCTGTTGGTACTTGTACATTGCTTATGGAAAACTATGGAGCACTTACAGATTTGCATGTCATCTTAAGTAGGACCTATGCTAATCTTCTCTGTAGCATCCAGGGTTTTGTATATGTGCTGCCAAAGTGAGCACATTTAAATAAAAGAAAAATAGAGATAAATCATTACCCTCAAGTGTGCACTGTAAGAGATGTTAAAGAAAGTTCTTCAGGAAAGAGAAAAATCATACCAAATGAGATGGAAATTTGTAATTTCACAAAGTAAAGAGTGGTATGAGAAATCGTAGATATACAGATAAATATAAAATGGCCTTAATCTTTTTAAAATTTAAATTATAATCAACTGTTGGAAGCAAAATGTGTCATATATATACAATTGTTATGGGGTGTATGCTTATGGAATATTTTTTACACAAATTATAGGAACAGCGAGATAAAAGTATATTTTAATTAGAGTCTAATGTTATATATGCTGTGGCATGTTATTACAGATAGTCTTGGGCTTATAGTAATTTAGTGACAGTTTTTCAACTTCATGTGATGTGAAAATGATGCACAGTCAGCTGAAAACATATTTTGAATTTTGACTGTTTTTGTGCTACTGATGTGCAGGAAAATAATGTCTTGCTGCTGGACTGTAGCAGCAAGCTACAGATTCCAGTCACCCATAAGATCATGCAGGCAATGTTACTAGCTGTGATGTTAAGTAGATTAGGAACTTTAAGTTTCTTTAAGTGTATTTTCATTGTATAATATTTTCAATTTACAACTGATTTAATAGAGATGGCCATATCTTGTAAGTGGGAAGCATCTGCATGTCAGGATATTATGTTGAGTTAAAGTTACATATTGTAAACCTTATAAAAATCCAAATAAACCAAAATAATATAAATAACAAGTCAAGTGGATATGCAATTGAATATTAACTCATTGTGACAGTTAAACTAGATTGTCAACATGATTGGTTTATGAATTTCCTAGGAGACAAGTAAAGTGCTCTTCTACTTCTCTCTCTCTTTTTCTCTCTCTCTCTCTCTCTTTCTGTGTGTGTGTGTGTGTGTGTGTGTGTGTGTGTGTGTGTGTATGTGTGTGTGCGCGCGCGTGCTGAGTTCAGGGAGATATGATCTTCAGTCTATATTTGGTCCTTAGTCTGTACCTCTCTCTCGGTCTTCCGCTCCTCTGCTTTCTAACCTCTGAAATAAGCAGTGTTGCTACACCATGTCCTTCTGATATGATGCTCATACCTTGGAACCAACCAGTCATGAACAAAATCCTTGAAAGTGTAAGGCACACAAACTGCTTCCCCCTTAGATTCTGAAATTCTGTCAGGCCTTTTGTCCCTTTAAGGGGAAGGCTGACTAATATATCATATAAATGAAAAAGAACGATGAAAAAAGAGAAAGGATAAAAGAAGAACTGTAATACCAAAATAATAGCAATTGAGTGGACTTGAACACCTGTATTAAGTATTGCATTAACTGATCTCACCAGCTGAAATGAAAAACAGAGATTATAAGAGTCGATAAAACACTAATACTTATGTTGGGTATAAAATATTTATTTTAAATAAAATATATTTCATAAACACTAATTATAAAAAACTGGATATATTTTAATATTTGGAAAAGTGCAATTTGTGACCAAAATACTGCCAAAAAGAGAGCTAGATTATAAACAAATTGAATCATGCAAATATAAATATTTAAATATGTAGATCCTTAGTAAGGGTTTCAAAATAAATGAAACAAAAGCTATTAGCTTTTGTTTAATCAATAGCTATAGCTCGAGATTTTAGTATTCTTATTTTTGATACTATAAATATACAAAACAAGCAAGCAAGGCTCAACTAATTGTATAACAGTAGCAGAATATATTTAAGAACAATAAATTGTAGAAATAAACTATATTCTTGGTACACAGCAGAATTAAATTGGAGGTCAAAATAAGGATCTAGAAACTTTTGAAATATTTGAAGATGAAACATTGTATTTCTAAATAATCTATAAGTAAAAATCAAAATAACCAACTATATTATTTCTCTAAGACTGTTGTAATGCATCACCACAAAATGAGTAATTTAAAATAACAAATTCATTCTGGTATTGTTCTAGAGACCACTCTGAAGTCAGTTTTACTGAGCCAAAATGAATGTGCTGTCAGGCTTGTACTTTCCCTAGAGATTCTAGTGAATTGTCTGTTCTTAACTTCTTTGTGTACCAGTGAGTACTGACATTCATTGGTTTTCAGCTATGTTTTTCTGTTTGTCTTTTTCATCTCTGTGTTTCTGCATGTAGTGTGATATTATTGTTGGCCTATCTAAATAATCTACAATAAGGTTTTTCTATCAAGATCATTTATCACATTTTCCACCATATGATCAAGTATTTTGCCATATAATGTGATACTAAACTACTTGAAAAGTTAGCATGTGGACATATTGTTGTGCTTACCACTCTGTCCTTTGCAATAAAAAATTGAAAATATTTTGAACTAGTTATAATGAAGCTGTGAAATACTTAAAATTTGAGGGTGTAGATACAGTAACATTTAGAAAAAAAGTAGTTTTAGAATTTCTGTTTGAAAAAGAAAAATTTATAGTCAACAATTGCAAAGGTCCTTTTGCTTTAAAGATAGAGACAAAAATGGCAAATACAAATCAAGTATATGTAAGAAAATTAAAAATCTTGAACTAAATTAAAATATTTAATTATACATAAAATATATTTAAATTTAGCTTTTACTTTGAAAATCTGATTATAATTGATACAAGTGAGCACTAAACAAAAACAAAGTTACAAATGAAAAAGAAATCAGTAACGCAGTAGAGAACTCACTACAGATATGACATGAGTACTAAAAGGATTGTGAGTAACTATGTCAGTAATTCATAAACTCAGGTAAACAAGACAAATTCCCTGCAGAATGTACCTAAAATTGTACTTAATATAAAAGAATGTTTTGCTATGAATATCAATAACAATAAAATGATATTTACTTCACCCACTTAAGAGGTGCTGCAAGTACAGTAAACCAAGCAAAATGCGTAAATGTTGAAAATAAAATTTCTTACCAAATGACGTGGTTTTGTTCAAATAAAATTTTTATGAATCCACAAAAGCTACAGTATCTAAAAAGATGCCATCATGGTTACAGGATACAAATTAAATATATAAAACTCAATTGTATTGCTATTATAGTAACAGACATTAAGAAACAAAATATAAAGCATCCTTAACAGTAGTATACAAAAAAAATTGTATTTACATCTAACTTATGTAGAAATTAAACACTAAAATATGTTTAAAAGAAATTAAAGATCTCTAAGCCATATTCATGAATCTATGAATTGAATGTTATTAATTATATCAGCTTTTCTGAAAGCAATCTGTAGAATCCATGCAATCCAGTTAAAATTATACCAAGTTTTAATAAATAATTGACAAGCTACAAGGGGTGACTGAAAAATACATTGAAAATTTACATTAAAATCTCATTACAGTAAAATATCCAGTGCCAAGAATAATGGGATAAGTGTAATAAAAGTGATGGCAGAATATTTGGAATGTTTTGAGGCTAGGTAATCTAAATATCTACTTAAATTTTTTTTCTTTAAGAACAGAGAACAAAGTATTAGCAATCTTGAGATAGGCAAAGCTTTTTAAAACAGGGTAACAAAAGCTTGAACCATAAGATATAAAATAGACTTCCTAAAAATAATTAAAAATTGACTCTGAGAAACAAGCCATACACTATAAGAAGTGATTTGACATACATCTCAGGAAATTTATACTCAGTATACATAAAAACTCCAAATATCCTATATCAGTTAAATGAATGAAACATATTTGACGTGTTCATCAAATAGAATACCAGTCAGTAATAAAATTGAACACTCTACATGCATGAGATTTAACAATGTTATGCTTTGCAAATGAAAGGAATTGTTGAAGAATCTATACTGTAGGAATTCAATTTGTATGACATTGTACCATAGAAAAGGCAACACAAATCATTAATGTAGAGTGTATCAGAGGTTACCTAGGGCCAGGTTTGGAAATGGAATATTGAATATATCATTATTTTATTTATTTATTACAATATTTAAGATATTTATTTTTGCAGTATTTATTGCAATATTTAGGTGAGACTTATTGCAGTATTTAAGATATTCCATATCTTGATTGTGATGAATATTAAATGCCATATACATTTTTGAAAAGCAATGAAATGAATGCTCGAAGTGTTTATACTGTATGTACTATATATAATGAAATTCTCAATTAGCTAATAAATGGATTGCATATAAAGAAATGCCTTTTCATTTTAAAGAGAAAAATAATAATAAAAACAATGATATAAAATGTCAAAATAAGATTATAGGAATATAACAATGCCTAGTACATTGTGTATTACCTTCAAAGTAGTTACTCATATTACAAGATATAGGCATGAAAAATTGATTAAATAGTATAAGGCAGAATCCTTTCTTTTCAATGAATAGCAGCTAATAATATAACTATTTTAACCATTTTGTATATATGTGTGTATATGCATTTATATGTATATTTTTTATTCCTTTTCTATTCCTTCTTTTGCCCTTCTCCCACCCCAGTTTCTCTTTCCTTTGCAACATTTCCTTCCCATTTCACAACATGTATTGTACATTTTGAACCTTATTTACTGTTTTGACTTCTTACACTAAGATGAAAACGTAATGTTTGCATATGTAATTATTTCACATAAGAGTATGGTCTAAAGTTGCTTCTATTTTCTAGAAATGTAACAAGTATATTCTTCTGTATATCTGAGTAGTACTTCATTGAATAAAAATATATGATGGGCATTTAGGTTCTTTCTAAGATTTATCTATTATATATTGTGCTGCTATAAACACGGGTGCCCATATATTGCTGTGACATGTTTCAATTTTTCTGGAAAAAGACCCAGAAGGGAAATAGCTGGTTTGAATTGGACCTCCAATTCTAGTTTTTTGAGGAATCTCCACACTGATTTTCACAGTTGTTGTGCCAGTCTTCACTCCCACCGACAGTGGAGAAGGGTTCCTTTTTCCCCAAAGCCCCACTAACATTTATTTTTGATTGATTTCTTGATGGCAGCCACTCTTTCTAGAGTG